CAACAAGACAACTCACTGGTAAGCCATGACTTCCCGCAAACCCCTCTTTGCCTTCGAGTCCCTGTAATGACAGAAGCGAAAATAGCTTTCATTTTTAACATACATGTAGGTGTTACTGACTGAAAGACAAACAGACATTTCTTTTTTTTTTTTACCGGATCGCCTTTTGGTCCTGCTGGTCCATCATGCCCAGTGTTTCCCTGTCATAGTAGGCAAACTTTTAATGAATCCCTATGGCATAGCAACACATACAGTCATGTAAAAAAGTTTCATTCAACTATGAAGTACAAGCACACCCTTACCGACTCCATAGTATTTATCAGGGTAAGTACACAAGTGCTGCTAAATCAAATTAACTTAAATTAAATTAACAATAATCACCTCTAAAAAGCAGAGATTCTGCAGTTTGCTGGTCTGGAGCATTTAAGTGCATATTAACACAGTGTTCCAACTGAATTTACCCCCAAATCCCACTGCACAGTGCTCAGAGAACATTTCTATGTGAACAAACCACAAGACTTCTACAGCAATGACAGACGAGACTGAAGTGGAGATGTTTGGTCATAATGCTCAGAACCACGACTGGTGAAACCAGACACAGCATATCAGTGTTGTGATGCTCCAGTCAACAAGAACTCAGAACTGTATAGCAGTGCTGTGGCAGGATCTTAAGAGAGCTGTGCATGAACTAAGACCTGCAAACCTCAGTGAGCAACATGTTAGTTGGCGAGTAGGCCAAAATTCCTTCAGAGCAATGTGAGCAACTGATGAAGTCACACAGAAAATGATTTCTTCTTTCTTCAGGCTGTTAAATCATGTGGTGTCCTTAGTTACTTTGTTATTTAACTACTGAATTTCCCGGAGGAACCCACCCGAGGTTATACTACACCATTTCGTGTTGATTTTTCCTTTCATTTAACAAGTTCAATTAAAAATGTGTAGGCATATGAGAAATTTTGAATTATATATCAAGTATAATAATATAAGATCTAATTTAGACTGACACTACAAACTGTGCTAATATGAGAAAACTTAATGAGAGCTTAAGTTTTACCTTTAGTCCCATCGGGCCAGTGGAACCATCTGTTCCAGGACGTCCTGGTGGCCCAGGGGAACCTGGATTTCCTGGAAATCCTTTGTCTCCCTGTTTGTATGAATGTGTGAATGAAAAGTAATAGGACACAGAAAGAAAGGTCATAAGGTGGCAACCAGTAAACAAACAGCAGCTTCATTGGTATTGTCACTTTATAAGTAAATACGTAGCTGCTGTTTTGTGAATGCTTATGAAAATATTGCCAACTATAACTGGTATTGGTACATTTATCAGCTGTATGCGGTTAAAATGAGAGAAATTACTATATTTATAACTGCAACAAACCTAGTGTGTAAACACACTGAAATATTTATCCATGTCCTTCGTAAAGGATATATTTAGCCATACATCCATTTTCTTTTGTTTATTTAAGATATAATTATTATTAATTTGTGGATGCTTGATAAAACTGTACAGTCTACATAGTGTAAAAACGAAAACAATTTACATCATCATTACATCTAGGGGGTAATGAATGACTAGAGAATTTTATATTTCTATGACTAATGTGTCTATTTGCATATATTCCTTCTAAGATGTGTTTCATAATTAAATTATTTGTTACTTTGAAAAATTATTTAATTAGTGGAGTGTACACCATAGTCACGGGAAGTACAAATCATGCTTTGAGAAAAAAAAAAAGAATAAAAGTTTTGTGAAAAGAAGAAGTAAGTAGCTGTAAAATGCAGGAGGATGAACTGAGTCTTCGACACAGACAGTGAATTAGACACTTACCCTGCTGCCTTTCACTCCATCACAGCGGCACTGTGATCTTCCGTTGCACACACACTAGAAGAAAGTTTACATTTTTTAATCTCTAATGCACAAAATAAAAAAGCAAAATAAAATAAAAACAACTGTGTTTTTGACAAATTGTCAAATATTTGTAATGTAATGCTGCTTCCTCAAAGTCAGTTGTCCTACTGACTGTAAAGTATTTTCATTTTGCATAATGCTGCATATACTGCATTATTTTTTTTTAAATGCACAAATAGGTGATTTCTCAGTTTTTTCACCGTAGCTTTGGTATAAAATCTTTTTCCTTTTTTGTTGATTTTTTTTGATTTTGCAGGCTCCAGGTCCTCAAGGCAGTCTTTAATCATACTTTTTTTGCTAGTATAGTGAGGGACATTCCTTGTACTTGAGGCTAATTTGTGGAGGATTAGCACCTTTAAAGCAATTTGCCTTAATAACATCTCTAACTCTGTGATGGGTTTGTAGCTTAAACCTATTCGCTGGAACGTTCAAGACAATTTAACTACACAGCAAAGCAAGACACGAGTAGGCAAAGTTCTTTATGTTTCTCGTGCACGGGAGAGAACTGGACAAACGCCGTTCCTTCGCTTGACCCCAGTTGCACTCGTCCGCTCCCCCGTAACACTGCTCTTTTATTGAGGCTACATGAAGACAGGCACACTTCAGGCACACTTCTGGCCTGTTTATTAATAGGTTCATTAACATATGACGTACATACACACAAAGAGTACCTTGCCTGTGCGTTGTGTAAGTATGTGTGTGTGTGTGTGTGTGTGTGTGTGTGACTTCCCTAAACCTGCTGGTCTGGAAGTCCAGCAGTTCATCTAAACAAAAGGCACTTAGACTAAAACAGACGTAGATACGTTTATCCTACCACAAAACAATAAGAGAAGGTACGACCGTGTGAATGCCAGAACACTCTGGGAGGCACACAGAGTCTCCACAGACTACTAAAGATCAAACCTCTACCAACATGACATTGATTATAAAACTCTAAGCATATATGAGTAGATATTTCTAAGCATAAATGACAATCCACTATATAAACCTGACACTCTGCTGTGTTAATACCCTCCTGAGTCCCTATTAAACACAGTGGCCTTTAATTAGAAAACTGCACACATATTTGCTTGTCAGCAGTGGTTTAGTGAAGCTAACAGACTTTAAAAAGTGGGGTAATAAAGTATATAAAAAAGAGTAATCTGCACAGTGTTGTTTGTAGTCTAAATATTAGGCCACCCTTGAGCCAAAAGCAGCTTAGCAAGAACAGCTACAATGATAAAACCGTTATACCTAATTATTGGAAATTTATTACATTGGTCATTAAGCACAGGCAGCACGGTGGCACGGTGGTTAGCACTGTTGCCGCACAGCAAGAAGGTCCTGAGTTCAATTCCAACATCAGGCCGGGGTCTTTCTGTGTGGAGTTTGCATGTTCTCCCCGTGTTTGCGTGGGTTCCCTCCGGGTACTCCGGCTTCCTCCCACCGTCCAAAGACATGCAGCTTGTGGGGATAGGTTAATTGGATAATCCAAATTGTCACTAGGTGTGAATGTGCGAATGAATGTGAGTGTGAATGGTTGTCTGTCCCTATGTGTTAGCCCTGCGACAGACTGGCGACCTGTCAAGGGTGTACACTGCCTCTCGCCCTATGACAGCTGGGATAGGCTCCAGTGCCCCCCGCGACCCTGAAAAAGGATAAGCGGAAGCGAATGGATGGATGGCGAATGGATGGATGGTCATTAAGCTATAATTAATTCAGTTTTTCAGCTTCTTTTTTTTTTTTTTGCACATGAAACAACATCAGACTTTTCCATGACCTACTATGAAAAGGCCCACCAACATAGCACACTGAAGAGTGTTGTACACATTACCTAATGGAGTGCATCAGCAAACAGGCTGGAAAAAAAAAGCATCACATTTCTTTGGGAGATGTTTAAAAAAAGTTTCCAGGATGCTTTTTTCCAGTAAACAGTCATTAAGGTCCTCACAGAGTTACTAAACAGAGAAAAAGAGAGTCCTATACAGCATTACTATTTAAGAAGTTACTGATCTACAGGTTTGAGAAAAATATTCAATGTCATTCTTGAACCTATATTTTTTTTAGAGGAAAAGAAAAACACTATATTTAGATACAGAATTGAGTTGTCATGTGGTTTTCTCTCGAGCAATGTCGATTAATAAGTCAGTACAGCTCAACAACAAGCCCAGTCCATGCAGGGTGACATGAAGGAAAGCAACACATTTTTTTTAATCCAGAGTCAGCCACAAAAGAGACCATGTCCCATGTGTTTATATTTTAAAAAAGACAGTCAGTGCAGTGATGGATTATCAGTGCGTGCAAAGCTTAATTTAAAACAGTCAATAAAGCTAATAAGGGGAAATAAGAAGGATCTTACCTTTTTTCCATCAGTCATCACCAGCATTGCAGCCAACAGGATTATAGGAATTATGAATGTTGGAGTTCCCATGGCTTTTCTTTCTGCATTTACATCAGTAGTTTGGGAATAACCACAGGCACTCCAGGGGGGATAGGTGTCTCCTTGAGTGCTCTCCTCTGTAACCAGCTTTCAAATTTCACTCATCTACCGCAGTGCTTTGGGTGATGCTACGTGACGGCAGTCCTCAATCAAGGTTTCCCCATCTGACTTTATGACTTTAGACAGTACAGCCCGGAGAAGTTGTTTAACTTGACCTTGAATAGAGAGGCGGTCTGAACTTTCTGTTGTGTTTATTCCCAGTCAGAACGCTTCTTCTCATCTCACTCTCGCTGGTCCTTGCAGCGGAAGTTTCTCACTTTGGTTTTTTACTGGCACGAGGACAGGAGATAAGATGGAATCTCAAGTTAGGGATTAAGCTACTTGGCTAGAACTAAATGAACTTCATGAAAATCATTTCGGGCTCTGAATTTGGGTGAGTAGCGAATACTTGTTGTGCATAGTGGAACTAGTCTTTTAAAAATCCTTAATCAGTTGCATGCTCCCACTTTTTAAACGTCATAACTGTATGCTCTGTATCTTCTACCTTATCTCTCACTTTCATACAAAGTGCCCTTTGCCTAACAGGTGTTTTTGCTGTTTCATTCTTTTGTTTTAATCCACTGCAGGTGGCAGCACTGAGGCCAGCAAGCAGCTGTGAAGTGGACTTGAGAGATGAAATCCTCGGTTACTCCTGGGACTTTGTTTGCTCTTTGGTACGTCTCACTCCAATATTTTTAATAACAACAATATTTTTCCAGAAATAAATATGAGACACATGTTAGCTTTTTGGTAAGAGTATTCAGATAATAATGCTAATTTGTATGACCGAATCAAAAAATAGTCCTTAACCCTTGCTATCTTTAGATTCCACTCAGACCTCTTTGACTGAACGTAAGCTATTACACTCACATTAATAACTCTGTGTTTACCTGAAGACAGGCACACTTCTGGCCTGTTTATTCAAATATGCAAACATTTGTATGCTTGTATACTAGAAGTAAAAAGAAGATCTGCTCTGAGGCAGGCACAGAGGCACATACTTTCACTTTCAAATACCAAGTGGACACCAAAGTTATAACAGTGAGTGGGAAAGATTTGCTCAGAACATATCAGACTCATAGATCAAACTCCATACAAGGGTCTCTCTCATGGTCATTTACAGTTGTGTAATAGCGTCCAGTAGGTGCTCAAAAAGAAAAGCGCTACCTTTTTAACACTCTTGTTTTCACAGGTGGATGCTTTCCCTCATCTTCTTTGTGCAGCAGCTCAAGGCAGTAAGAATTATTTTATAGACATTTATATTCATACTTAACATAACTATTATACATAGCATATCTACTCCGAGTTCTAGTACTATATTGCAAATAAATTATACATTGAGTAATGAATAGTAATGAATTTTAATTTAAGAAAATCACATTTCATTAATTTTTGTTGCCACATTTTTAAACATGTTAATTTTACTTTAAAAATATTAGCATTAGCTTTAGATAGCTATTCCCGTCCATTGCAGAGCTTAGTCCAACTACAGTGGCTCAGGTTTGAATGAATTCTTTCATGTAATTTGCTAAACACACTTGAATTACATTTTCCTTAATGCAGCTGGTGCTACTGCTACTGTTAGAGCAGCCAGGACTGTAGTTTTATGTTCAGTTTATCAGTGTAACATAAGCATAGCCCCGACTCTGCTGTTCAGTGAACTTAACATGTTATTGGTTATCACAAACTGTATGTTGCTATGCATACAAACATACCAAACAGATAGACTCTTAAGTTAGGATTTGTTAAGTATTTCCCAGGGGAATCTCACTGCATCTGGAAGACTGTTCAGCTACTTATCTGTTGATGTTGTTTATCCCTGGTACTTTATGTTAAGCCGCATATGATGGGCTTTTGCACACAAATACTTCAAAATGCTAAACTGGACGTGACAAATGTATTGGTTGAGTTCCTGTTTTGCCTATTTTTGTCTATACACAGTATGTTTATAGTAGCTACTTAGAGAATACATCATAATAAAATAGAAAAAAATGCAAATGATAAAAAATATATATATTTAAACAAATTTAAAATAAACAAATAAACTGATCAACTTCCAAGTATCACAATATTTTTTTCATGAGCATTGTGCTTTCCTATACTTTTAACTCACTGACCAAAGTCAAAGCCTTTTATTTTAATTCTTAATTTATTTATCTTTCTTAGTCATGGCTCAACTATTGTAGCAAGCAGAACAGGGCAGGTGGTTTTGTTGCCAAACAAGTGTGCGAGGGGTAAAAAGACCATGTTGTTATCCAATAGTTTGTGTTTAATACTAAAAATTACTAATAATAACTTTCACATTTGACATTCTCAAATGTCTCACTTTGTGTTTTCTTGCACAAAGAATTTAACTTTAACATTCACAGAGTTTTAATATTTAGCATTATTCACATATGACACTATTGGCAAGCAAACAGTTATAGCTGTGGTCAGACATTTACATATACTCATCATGGACATATACATGGATGTCCATTTAATGATCTCTTTCACATTGCGCAAAGTGGATGGAACAATGAAAAAAGAGGACTACTACTTGAAATGAATTTGAACACAAATAGGTCGTCCAACAAGAAAATGATCCTAGACATATCAAAAGGCTAACAAAAAGCTTCTAGAACCAGCTCTTTATCCTCCTGATGATATTCGAGTGTGCGTAAGTGTTTGCCAAACCACTCTACACATGTCTACATGTGTTTTGAGGACTTGGAGAAGGTATTTGACAATGCTCCTTGAGTAGCGCCCACTGTGGGGGGTGCTGCGGGAGTATCTGGCTTGTTGCTATAGGCCGTTCAATCCCTGTACAACTGCAACAGGAGCATGGCTCACATTGCTGACAATGTTAGACTTATTTCTGGTGGGTGCTGGACTCTGCCAAGGCTGCCCTTTGTCACGGATTCTGTTCATAATTTTACTGGACAGAAATTCTAAGAGTAGACAGGTGGTGGAAAACTTTAACTTTGGTGGTGTTTGTTGGCTAGAGGTGGTAGGGGCAGGGATAGCTCAGCAGGTAGCTTAGTTGCCCCATGATCAGAAGGTCGGGGGTTCAAATCCACTCAACGGGTACCTGAGGGTCCTTTTTGCACTAAAGCATTTTACACCTAAGTGTAACGTGGTGAGAATGACAGTTACCACCTCCACTTCAGAAGCTGGATGGAGCCTTAATGCTCAGTCTGTGCCAGGAAACCAGCCAATTTAAATGGACTCCACCAATTCTTCCATGAAGAGTGGTGAAATATTTGGACAGAATTATGGTAGAAACTTGTTGATGGCTATGAAAAGTGTCATGTCAAGGTATAACTCACCAAAGTACATTTATACCAAATATTAAATGGGGTATGTGTATATAATTGACTCTCTCGATATAATTTTGACCTTGTGTTAGTTAGACAAAATCCAAAATCCATTAAATATTATGCATGTACATCTGTACATCTGCAGTAACATATTATCGCATATGCAAGGGTTTTGTTAGAGATTATGCCGAAGTAGTATATATATGTAGTATATACTACTTGTTTAAATACTTTCTGTAGCAATAGAAAAATTCCAGCGTTTTCTATTCCCACAAAGTGCATTTGGTTATTACACTGAACCCCACTGTCCTATTAAAAATATAACTGACCGTTGCACTTCATTTTCTGAAAGTTGGGGCGCATCCCATGAAGTTTAGATCTAAAGCGGACAGGTTTATCAACAGATGTGCAGAAGGGTCTCACTAATTTTCACCAGTGTAAATATTTAATGGCCTTAGAGAAAACATTGGTAATGTTTTCAACACAGATATTTCTGCGGTGCAAAACTCCCAGAAGACACACACACACACACACACACACACACACACTGATGTTTGAACTCAGTACAGGTTTTCAGTAGAATGTCAGGACAAAATAATTCTTATCAAGGTCAGGTTTATTTAGCCGTCAGTGTGAGAACACTGATATGCGCAAAGCTTTCTAATCTGCACTGTTCAGTCTCTATAGGAAACTATATTTTTTCTCAAGACTGAGAATCAGCAAATATAATCAGCCTGCTGTTCTCTTCTAATGCTTACGAGCACCTGTGTTTTGTTTGTTTTACTTTTCTTTTTTCAGGGAAACACTGAGGGCCCGTGTCAAGGTAGAGACTGCTCTGTATGTCGGTGTCTTCCTGCAAAAGGTGCACGGGTATGGACTGTTTCTCTTCACAACGTTATGAAATGGAACAGAAACTTAACTTGATTTTTAAACTGAAAGGGTTTTTAGTATTCATTAGTCTGTCAGGACTAAAGCAGGATGCTTTACTATTGGGGTGGATTTAGCAAATCATTAGTTTCTATAATAATAATAATAATAATAATAATAATAATAATAATAATAATGATGATGATGATGAAAAGAAAACAATTGAGTGAAACTTAATTAAGTCACACAGAGATCTGCATTGTTGTTATTCTAAATACAAGCCATGAATATCTTCAATGGAAAAAGTGTTATTTTAACACTGTTTTTGCTTTGTAGGGCGCTCCTGGTAGAGGAGGCCAGGAAGGTCCACGGGGACTAATGGGACTGCAGGGACATCAAGGGCTTCCTGGAGAGAAAGGCAGGATGGGAGCAACTGGATCACATGGCCCAGAGGGGCCTAAAGGAAGTCAAGTTAGTGTTCATTTCCATGTTGGTGTGAATGTATATATATATATATATATATATATATATATACACAATGAAATCAAACCAACTGCTGATTTTATATTTACTGCTCAAAAATATTCACCTTGAAAGTGGTTACTGAGATACATTCAGTGGTCATTTTATTAGGTACTTTTGTTCTACTGTTCTAATTAGCCAATCACATGGCAGCAAGTCATTGCATTTAAGCATGTAAATATTTTTGAGCATGGCATGATCACTGATGTCAGATGGACTGGTCTGAGTGTTTCAGAAGCTGTTGATATTCTGGGTTTTTCCTGCATAACCATCTTTAGGGTTTACAAATACAAATCAAAAAAAGAGAAAAAAATGCCTTCTTGGTGTGGTCAGACTGTTTGAAACCACTGATTACAACCAAGAAGAACATTTCTGAATGCATATTTAAAATCTACAGCAACAGAAGACCACACCAGATGCCACTTGTGTCAGCTAAGAACAGGAAACAGGCTCCAATTCACGCAGGTTCACACGGAGAGAAGACTGGAAAAAAATAATGTTGCCTGGTCTGATAAATCTCGATTTCTGTTGCAATATTTGGACAGTAGGAGCAGAATTTGGTGTAAACAACATGAAAACTTGGATCCATCCTGTCTTGTCTCAACTTTCTAGTTTCCTGGTGGTGTAATGGTGTGTGTGATATTTTCCTGGCACTCTTTGGGCCTTTTTGAACCAACTGACCATTGCTAATACACCATAGCCTATCTGAATATTGCTGTTGAGCACTTTCATCCCTTTATGGACAGTTTACCCCGATGGCTGCTTCCAACAGGGTAAAACAATACATCACAAAACTCAAATCATTGAACACTGGTTTCTTAATCATGACTATAAGCTCACTGTGCACAAATGACCTCTACAGTCACTGGATTTCAATCGAGTAGAGCACCTTTAGGATGTAGTGGAACTGGAGATTACATTGTGGATGTGCAGCCAACAAATCTGCAGCACATGTGTGATGCTATCATGTCAATATGGACCAAAATGTCTTTGGTATGTTTCCAGCACCTTATTGAATCTATACCATGAAGAACTGAGGTAGTTCTGAAGGCAAACAGGCCAGAAAAGACTGTCATCAACCCTTTGAACACTGGGTTCAAAATAATGCCAAAAATGTTAAATGATGAAATGCCTCTTTATTGTTTGAGACTACGGATGAATGAATAGCTATTGCAATAAATGTCTTTATATTACAGGGAAAGATTGGTGCTCCTGGTTTTCTTGGTAGAAGTGGTTTACCAGTAAGTAAACTACTGTTTTTTATGGATTTAATTCCAAATGTCAAAAAATAAACATCTCATACTGACAGCAATAACTAATTTCATGTGTCTTTGCATGTGCAAGGGTCTTTTTACCCTCAGGGTACCCTGGCTTCCTCTTTTGGTACAGAAGAAATGCTTGTTAGGTTAATTTGTGATTCTAAATTGGCTGTAAGGGTGAATGTGAGCTATGTAGCTGGCCTCTCTCCCGATAACAGCTGGAATAGGCTCCAGCTCTCCTCGACACTGAATTGAATTAGCAGCTGAGAAAATAGATAGATGGACTTCTCTTATGTGCTGATCATTTATTTTTCTACAGTGTCAAAGAAGATATCAATATCAGGCAGTCTGTCAGTGAAAATATGGTGTCCGCAGTTGTGTAACTGCCCAATTCTTACAGTTAAAATATTGTTGGCTCATGTGTTATGCCCTCTAGTGGACAAATATAATACACACTGCTGGTGCCAGTGTGGTTCTCTTCACTACAACTTGAAGCTGTATCTTCAGTATGCTGGTTTACTTAGTCATCCACCACTATATAATTATAGTTATAGTGGCCTTTAGATATCACTGCTGTAAAGGATATGTACATATCATTTTAGATTAATGAGGAAGACAACAACTGTCATTTCCAACACTGTGTTTGTACGTGACCACAACTGTGCTGTTTTTCTCAGGGTCACCCCGGAGCAGGCGGTGAGCCTGGGTTGCCAGGATTAGATGGTTGTAACAGGACACAAGGTAGGCCGGGAATCCCCGGTTTGCCTGGTTTGGATGGCCTCCATGGCTCACCGGTAAGTAGAATACTCATGTTTTAAATTATTCATTCAATGGCGAGACCTTCAGATGTTCCACCATCTTCTTTGAAGACATTTGATTAGTGGTTTAAAAAAAGAGTTACATTACTCATAGTGGACATGTTTTAGGTATCTCTACACTCAACTACCTTTCAGTACAATACAAGTGGTAGTATGATACTTAAACAGAAGGGGGGGAGGGGGCAGTAGAGATTTGGTTGGTGTGCATTTAGATGAAAGACTAGAGTTTTGTTTTACTTTGAGAATATATTTAAACTACAGATAAGAGCGCTTAGTTGCTCTAAACAGCAAAAGCAATCTGCCCATACTGTACAAATAATGCACTTATAGACCATCTTACCATTGAAGGCACACCGATGTTCAAACTAATGAGTATTTAGAGTATGTATATTTAGGCTATATGATGACATGATCACCCAGTAGTTGTTGCCTGGACAATATCTCTCAATGACACATACGCAGAATTTTGTTGCTGCTGCTTCTTCTTTTCTTCTTGCTTCTTTTTAAACTGCATAAAAGACCCTTTGTGGCAGTTTCCTTTGTAAAAATGGTGACCATTGTAACAATATTAAATATATCATGAGCTTTAACTGTGTTTTTGTCAGGGATTACCTGGGCCTAAAGGAGATAAAGGAGAAGCTTCATATTTAGATGCACTTCCGGGAGTTCCTGTAAGTTCTCCTACAGTTAACACCCCTCTTTGTGTGCATTCCAGAATCATTTGTAATATACATGTACCCTGTCTGTAAAAATGCTATCCTCTTTTTCTGTCTTTTCTATTTTAATTTGCAGGGTGAGCGTGGGCGAGATGGACAGCCTGGCCATCCTGTATGTTTTTTTAAATTTGAACAATTGAACAATTCTCTGTGAAATACTTTCAAAAATTAAAGCAGGCAATAAATATCTTAAAACTTTCTCTCCGTATTGTGCTCTTCATACCAACTGCTACCCGAACACTGCATTTTTAACATGACTGCATGGTTTCCTAAAACAGGGAAGACAAGGATTTATTGGTCCTAAAGGTTACAGTGGTCCCCCTGGCCCTCCTGGCCGTCAGGTAATAAATGCATAAAAATAGATAAATATTTATGCATCTTTTTTTTACTATCATATATCACTGAGTGTCACTTGTGCATCTGTGTGCATTTAGGGTTTAGAGGGAGCTGCAGGTGTGAGAGGACAAACAGTGAGTCATAAGCTTCACAGTATTTAACAGTGCTTGCTGAAAACTATTATACAGAGATACGCATATGCAAAGCCAACACTTACTACACTTTTGGTCATTGGGCAGGGTTATCCTGGAAGATCACTGACAGGTGACGCAGGTGATGAGGTAAGAAAACTTTTTGGTAATCATGAATTAGCTATCATTAACCACGTTTTTTGGAATGTGAATTTGGTTTCACTAGCCACCAGTGTTGGTCAAGTTACTTGGAAAAAGTAATCGGTAACTAATTACTGATTACTTCCCCCAAAAAAGTAATCCCATTACTTTACTGATTATCCATCCATCCATTCGCTTCCGCTTATCCTTTCCAGGGTCGCGGGGGGCACTGGAGCCTATCCCAGCTGTCATAGGGCGAGAGGCGGGGTACACCCTGGACAGGTCGCCAGTCTGTCACAGGGCTAACACATAGAGACACAGACAACCATTCGCACTCACATTCACTCACAGATTCACACCTATGGGCAATTTAGATTGACCAATTAACCTATCCCCACTAATTGCATATTTTTGGACTGTGAGAGGAAGCCGGAATACCTTCCGGCTTCCATGCAAACTCCACACAGAAAGACCCCGGCCTGCTGGTGGAATTGAACTCAGGACCTTCTTGCTGTGCGGCAACAGTGCTAACCACCTTTACTGATTACTTATTTTGAAAAGTAATTAGTAACTTAGTTACTTTTAAAAACATGATTTATCTCCTAAATAGGTAATAAAGCAATAGATCTTTCAGCCCAATTCTACTTTTTCTGCATAATCCATGATATAAAATGTAATCAAATGAAAAAGTCTCTTTTTAAAACTTGTTTTATTAGTTTTAATCTTTTAACTTTGTTGTTTGTGTTTACGCTCACTCTTTCAAACAGATGCACGTAAAACACAGCAGAAAATAAATAAAATCAAAGACTCAGCCGTCCTGTTGCTCTATTTTCACCTGTATAGCAGGAGTGGGGCAGGCGGAGGTTTGCCCTGGTGCAGGTGTGCCGCAGCGGTCAGTGGAAGGATACGGCAGTTTCTCTGTGAATTTCACATTCCAGCGGCAGCGTATTTGGTGCTCGCTCGGAAGTTTAGGGTTTTTTTTCGATGTAAAAAGAAGTTTTCTTCCCATGCAGTTGTAACCTGGACGTGTGTCCCTCTATCTATAAAGAGATGATCTATACTGCTCGCCCAAGTGCAATGTCTACAATATCCGAATCTAGGTTTGGGAAGGAGATTGGCAGTAGCAACTCTGTAAGAGCAATAAGACTTCCAACCCACATAACACGCATGACCACAGGTTTGTGAAACAAAGTTTGCTTTATATATATTTTCTTTGGATCAGTTCCCTTTGCTCATCCTCAATGTAGGGATACCTTCAAATGCAGTAACCATCTCAAATGCATAACAAAAATAATTGAAACAATCAAAATAGATGTAAGACAAGAAACACAATATTTCAACACCCCAAGAAAAGGGGAAAAAAAAAAAAAGAAAATAGCATGTGAGTGTCCAGTTCCTTATGGTGTCAGTTTATTCAGTCACCCACTGTCTTGGGTTAAGAACTGAAAACGACCTGAATCTCAGGCGGGGAAAAAGTAGCAAAAGAAAATGATAAGGT